GTGGATGGGTTCTTGATATTAACACTCATTGTGTGAAACTGGGCTAATAACATCTTTTTTTCTTTCTTTGCTTTATGGTGCCCCCATACACTGCTGCTGGGAGGGAGTGGACAGACATATTGTAGTGGTAGTGTTGATGTTGGGTGGCACCTCTGTGTTTTTTTTTTTTTCTACATTGAGGATTTCTGTGAAATAGGTTCAAGTATATTGGGTCAAAAATTTTTTTTAATTCCTTTGCTTAATAATGGTTTGGGAATAATGACGGCAGTATTCATTGTTTTTTTATTTGTGTTTTTCAGCTGTTAGTGTGGAATGTGTGCTGAATGTTAATACCGTCTTTCCTCTTAAGGAGGGAGTGCTGTAAGGTAAGCTGAGTGGGTTTGTTCTTTTTGGTGCCTTATTATACTGCACTTCTCTCTGTTATTAAGCATCGGTACCTATGGGGTACTGTTGTGTGTGGATTTACTGATTGGGGTTTATTAATAATGTTCTTTTTTTAATATGAATGGTGTATTTGGTAGGTTAAAGAGATGTGTTCCTATGAGGTACAATTGGTGTGATAAGGCTTTGTAGTGTTATATCTGTGTTTACCTTTTACTCTTTGTGTTTCCTATTCCTTAGTTCATGATGGACTAGTGTAGTATAATAATAATAAAAGTGATGCCCTGTATGCTATTTGTGTGTGTCTGCGTTGTTGGCTCTAATAAAGCCACACTTGTGCAGCAGACATGGCAGGGATAAGGGGTTGTTCTGGTCCCATGTGTGTGTACGCACATACTCGATGTGGGTAAGGAAGGGAAGAGGGGGACAGCTGCCAGTTTACAGTGTAAGGTGTACTGTACATGATGTGTTTACACCTTCACTGTAATGAAGTGAATGCTTGCCATTACTTGTGAAATGGAATGGGAATTGGTGTTCAGTGAATATATATATAGAATACTAATTGGTGCTGTATGTAGTGTTGCCAGATGCCAGTTTTTGGTATTGTTAGGGGAAACTAGGATATATCTATGATATATTTCTTGAAAATTTCTTTCCTCTCAATTTAGAAGCAATTGTATAGCATCATCATTGGATCCAGATGGGTTTTGTTTTGTTAAGGAAGAAATGAGTTCCAAGAAGATTATGGGGGTAGTTCCAGTTGTGTTTTATCGTCAGCCGCGATAGCTCAGTTGGGAGAGCGTCAGACTGAAGATCTGAAGGTCCCTGGTTCGATCCCGGGTCGCGGCATTCCTTTTTGCTTTTTTTGTGGGATTGTAATTACTGTGCTTTCCTAATGGCATAAAGGTGTGATGTTTACGTTGGTATGTTAGAAACGCTGGAACGGTGCGTTGTTTATCTAAGCAATGGTGTTGAAGTGTACAGTTTAAGTTGAAGTGTAATGGATGATTTGTACTCATTTGGCTTCTTTTTTTAATCCAAATAATAATGATCTTTGGTTAACAAGGGATGTCTGGAAAGGGTTTTTTGCAAACACTCCCGAAACAACGCGATGAAAACAAGACACCTTCTGGCACTGGTATATCGGATATGCAACCGTTACTGTATGGGTGAAACAGTCCACATATTACACAGATTTGTCACAACACGTTTATCATGCTATTTGCGTGCGTTGCGGAACTCAGCACAATAATAGTAACGAAACAATCCTACAGCTATTGAATTGTTCTGCTCTTTATCCATGCTGTCTACAGCTTGCGGTATCTGGACTGTCCCTTAGGTATTTGTGTTTTACTAACTGTTTAGTCCAGTCTCTGACGGCCGTGGATCGGAACTACACTATACCCAAACTCTCTCATACAGAAATCCCTATGTTAACCACCTCCACTAACATCACAAAAATCACCGCTATGAAGTGTGACTGGGATGAATTATGTAGAACCTGATGGATTTAGAGGTAAACGTCGTTGATTAAAGTCACCCACAACAGAATAAACATGAGTTTATTGAGGTAAAAAAAAAAATGCAGAAAACTAAGGTTTCCAACGGGTTGTGGTTAAGGACACTGCGACCAGAGATTAATCGTAGGTTGCTTTTTCTGGTATGAAAAAGGTTATAAATGAAAACATAAACGAAAACTCTAAATTAAAAAAGGAATATTGCAAGACCATTTGCACCCAATAAACAATAGGATCTTTTTCTATTCACTCATTTTTAGCAATAATGGATGTACTCTACAGTCAAATGATGACAGGCGCATTATTGAAGTAAAACCTAACAAGATGAGAAAAGAAGATTTAAAAAACATGATATTCCTCAGTTTATTAACACTATCACTTTGTGAATTACACACTCATCTTTACTGTCAAAGTGGAAGAAAACTGCTATACAGTTTACATCTCAATTACCATCACAATCATATTACGCAGTCTTAGAGGCAATGGGACTGCACCCAGAAACTTCTGCATGAGTCAGGGCTCTTTTTCAGTGTTAGTAACAACAATGACAACATTAGCTTAATGTGGTATTCTGTTACTACTACTGACATTCACTTGTCCTTTATCTCTGTTGTTGATGTAACGTATAATAGAATGAAACGAGAATTATTTTGTGTATAAAAAATTTAATAAACGAGAGCACAAGAAAACAATTACAATGTCGTAAACACTTTATACTGCGCACTTTTATTAACAGTAATTATCACCTAGAACACGTTGGAAACTTTTATTCTTTTCTGTGCATCATATTCCTAGTACACGAATAGCTATTTATTAAAATCACCATTTTAATGAATAAGTTTATGTTTCTTTTCTCCTTATGTTACGTATTATTTAAGATAGATCTCACAAAGAACACAGCTACACAATCACTATGCGCACAACTCTATTATTAACCTTGCTACTGATACTCTCCTACATCTGTACATGTGCAGCAGCAGAGAGGATGCCACTGCCGGTGCCACGTGTGGGTGGATACGCTACAGAGGCAACAGGAAAGGGGAGGCCGGACAATCTGACAGGTGCAGTCGGTACTGCTGGAGAAGGCACAAAGGAAAAGTGGAATAACGGTGAGTTCACTACTACCACACCATCCCTCAGTATGAGTGAGTCCATGAGTGCCTCTGCCACT